CAGCAAACTCTTGGGCTACTCTTTTACTAACGAATAGTGGGATTGACCGTCACATTATAACGCCTCCACGGCTGAAAGGTGTTGTCAGTCAAAAACACAGAAACATGTAAACCACAAAAATAATTGTTTACTGCTGTTATTGAACCCAGTAACACAATTCATAAGAAAGTCCAGAAACATACAACTAACAAAAGTCCCAGAAACAGAATAGATAAAAAGTACCAGTATATCACAGTAAACATAAAAATCTGAATAACACATAATTAATAGAAAATCCCAGAAACATACAGACAAATAGAAAATACCAAAAAAAATATTGCTTAAGAAAATCCCAGAAACACACAGTTCATAAACAGTCCTAGTACTTCAAAATTCAATAGGAAATACTTAATAGGATATATATATATTTTCCATTCTGCTTAAATTTCCATTAAAACATGACAGTTAGTTTCACTTTTTATCTGAATCATATAAAATTACGTCATATTTTCTATGAATGTTTGTTCATTTCTGTTATGATTTATTTTAAATTAACGTTTCTTGGACTAACCTTGTTATAGTTGGTCGGCCGGGCATGGTCAGGTGGTTAGGGCGCTCGACTCGCAATCTGCGGGTCCGGGTTCGAATCCCCGTCACACCAAACATGCTCGCCCTTTCAGCCGTGGGGGCGTTATAATGTGACGGTCAATCCCACTATTCGTAGATAAAAGAGTAGCCCAAGAGTTGGCGGTTGGTGGTTTTGACTGGCTGCCTTCCCTCTAGTCTTACACTGCTAAATTAGGGACGGCTAGCGCAGATAGCCCTCGTGTAGCTTTGCGCGAAATCCATAACAAACAAACAAACAACAGTTATAGTTGATAAAGTACGAGCTTATATAAAGCCGAAGGAAAAGAGGATCCTTTTTACCGCAAGCAAGTTAACGAAAAAATGTTAAAATAAAGTATAGAGTACAAGAAGTAATTGTAAAAATTAAAACATCTCCAATTCTGGCATTGTGTATAGTTTTGATCAAGGCTGGATTAACCAAAAGGCAGTTGCCTATGAACCCCCGATGCCAAGGGGCTCACAGTGGTCATGCCGTTCTTTTAAAACCTTCTAAGATAAATTTTTAAGTTGAGAACCGTAGTATTTAAAAGCAGTATTATTGGTAAAAAAAAATTGTTTTAATGGTGTAAATTTCAATTCAACTAAGACGAATTGCGGAGAACGGGGAGGGCATAAAATTAAGATTACCTAGAGGGGCATAAAACTAAAATTACCTAGGGAGGGCATAAAACTAAAATTATCTATGTGGTCTCAGTCCAGTCTGATTTTGATGTATCTGCCAGAAAATAATAGTTTATTGTTTTAAGTCACGCTGTTTCCGTGGATCACATGTACATTATGTGTTTGTGTTTTGACCGAATTCGTTATAAGTTGCAAATAAAACCTATTTCTATTGCTCTATGTCTTTTCTAAACACGTTAAAATAAATATAAAAAGGACATAGACTGATTTTTGAAATCTTATATCAGTGCAATTTTAATTATTCAGTGTAACTACTTTTTTCAGTAATTAATACAGTTTTTTTATTATCCGAGTTTTTAATGTGTGCTATCAATCGATTCACAGTTCTCGATGTAAAGTCAGTCTTTATAAAATGCTTGTGACAAGGCAGATGACATTTTTCAGCCTCAATTTCTGTAAAATAACTACCCTTTAGCTGCCATCAAACCCTAGCGCCATCTTTTGGGTAAGTTTTAAAACTTTTGTACAAAATTTAAATCTTATGTCACAACAAGCGATTTTCTACCCTCAAGTTGTTTAACTGAACACTTTTTACAGACTTTATACACAGTAAAAATAGTTGTTTTTCTGTTATGATGTTTACTTATAACCAAATTAACTGAAAAGGAACAGTGAGATACTTTCATTTTAACAATAAAGGACGAAGTGAGGACTTTGTTGGCATGGCAACTAAATGCAAAACGGTTCCTTAGTATTCATTCTTGTCTCGTTTTTTTCATAGATATCAGCCATGTTTTTATTTGTTGATTATAGTAAACGGGTTATAACATTATAAGTACTGTGGTGTTAATAGAAAATTTTGTTAATGTTGATAAATTTCTGTGTTATAAATCGTTGTACTTAGCATAAGAGTATATTGAAGATATAATCATGTAATGTCTTACCCTTTCTTTGTATATCAAAAGGTATGATGAAATTATATGTATTTCTGAAATTACTTATTAATAATTGCTTCAAAAATCCATTTTTATTTGTCTTAAGCATTGATTATATAACTTAACACAAACAGGATTGAAAACTGTGATTTTTATCTATATTTGTGAGCCGGGTGTGGACTAATGGTTAGAGTGCCGGGACTATGTGTTCAAGAATTCATGGTTTGTGCCTCGTTCCCGCAGTTTAGGACTGTGGGTACGTTATACGGTCAAATTCTACTTTTCTCTCAGACGATAGCCCAAGAGTTGGTGGTAGGTACTGTTGACTAGCTTTAGCCTACTAGTTAAACATTAGGGACGACCGTGATACTCCTAAATATAGTGAATTTCCGTTGAAACTCAGTAGTGTTTGCAAATAACTTGATGTTCTACAGAAAATTTTATAGAGGAGAAAAATCTGAATTATCTGACACTGACTGAGTTTGAAGCAAGGAATAAACTGAACACAATGTGTAAAACAATCTTTATTAAATTATGATATAGTTAAAGAAACAAGAACGCAGCGCTTCTGGCTGGGAGATCTGGAAAATTTTCTCTGACTCAATATATCTCTCAATCTGACAGACTAACTGTAACTGTTCCAGACTGAGATCGGAGTACTTTATACAAAATTATATTGTGCCAACTCTTTCAGTCACTGTTTCTCATTCCAAGAGAAAAACAGGGAAGATATATGACCTCAAGGTATCACTTAACTCACCAATGGATAAGATCACTTCCCACCTTTACATAGCGTATTCTACCATACAGCAAATCATACGACACCAACGAGTACGTAATCGACCGAGAACAACAGCTAACTAGGGCGGGGGTAACCTAGACACATCCCATGACCAGTGTTCTATTTTCAAAACCAAATACAGCCACAAAGGGCTATTTGCTGTGTCCACCGTGGAGAATTGAACCCCGAATTTTAGCATTGTAACTTACTGCTGTCCAA